AGCTATCTAAGCAATTTATTTAAAGTCAGTGTTGTTGTTGTTTCTAGCTCTTTAGTCTTTTCATAGGTTTTGGTGACTGAGGACAATTCGTGCCTTTCTTTCTTTTAATATTTTTTTAAATTGATTTCAGAGAGGAAGGAAGAGGGAGAGAGAGATAGAAACATCCATGATGAGAGAGAATCACTGACCGGCTGCCTCCTGTACCCCCCTATTGGGGACCAGGCTCGAAACCTGGACACGTGCCCTTGGCCGGGAATCGAACCAGTTCAGAGGTCACTGCACTGGGCCACACCGGTGAGGGTGTCTTTTCTTTGCATCACAATAAAAACATCAACCTGCTCCTTCAGGGGCAGCCTCGAGCCTCGAGGGGAGATGCCCGGGATTTTAAACGATTCATTTTATGTCAAGGCCTCTTCAGGGTTTCCGGAACGACAGGCAGTTCACACACAGGCACCCGTCCTGTACGGAACGCACCGGGGTTCCCAGCGAACTGCACGAGGGCTCTTACATGTACCCATTTTCTATCACCTAAAGCTCTAAAAACATCATTAACGGCACCGCCTCTGCACCTTCATCTTCAAAACAGGAGACCTGGCCTGTCTCAGAGTACATTATTATTATTATTATTATTATTATTTACGATTTACTGAGTTAAAATGAAAGACAGGGAAGCAATATAGGTCCAAATTCACCGGCCTAGTATGGACATTCCGGCGCACGTAACTGTCAGATGCCCGCTCTGACCTGCTTTCAGGTACAAGAGCGAGCTGACCGTGGTTGTATCTTAACAGTCCCCTGGGGACGGATCTCCTGTATCTCGTCATGATTCTTATTCGCTTCATTTCCCAGCAGACGGGCCGCCCTATTTATTTCTGAAATAACCACCACGGTTCCAGGTACTTGTCCAAGTGTCAACGACGGTAAAAATTAAAATGCGCAGTAATAGCTTAGAAAGACAGTATTTTAAGGGAGTGTATAATTGACACGAAATGTGTGTTGATATTTGGAATTGGGGGTGCAGGGGGTGTCTCCCTAGTGCATTTTCTTAAACGAAAGTGACCTCATTTGAGATTTCACATGTTCTGTTTAACCAGACTGGCTCTTCTCCCACCCCTCGCTTCAGAACATAACACAGTAACACGAACTTCAACTGGTATTGTTTCTAGCCCTAACATGGCCTTTTTAAAAATTTCCAAACACTCAAACTACATCTGTTTGGAAGTCTCCATATTTGGCACAGCCAATAAAAAAAATAAAATCACACACAAAAATTTAAAAAAACACTAAAACTGAAATCACAATGTCCTCACAGGCCAACACGGCGACGGCCGCTCTGAAGGGACCCCCAGCTTTTAAAAGCGATCCCACGTAATAATCAATATGGTTAAAATCACTCCCGATCCAACCTGCGCTCCGTTTCCTTTGAGCGCCCCAAATCTGTAGTGAAATGATGAAATCGAAAAACAAGTGTTCGTGTCAGGAGACAGAACGGGAGTTTCTCCCCCCGCCCCCCAACCCCCTTAAGGGACACAAAGGGTCGCCGGACGCCTGGCCCTGATTTATTTGTCCAATTTTGAATTCCTTGAGTAACGGAACTGCTACTGGCAGGGTCGTATTTCTCACAGTCCATAAATCTCCGATATTATGTGTGAATATTGGAATGAAGCCATTAAGAAGATTACAGCGTGCGACGCAGCAGAGGGTCCCCGGGAAAAAAGACGGGTAATTCAGGACAACTGTGACCACTGACCCGGGGCCAGCGCGACCACTGGGCAGGCGGGCACCTAATCGGGAGCACATGGGCCCGGGGCCTTCCGGACTCGGAGCGCAATTTAAGGGCCCGCTGCACGGGTTTAAAAGGCCCCCGTTGAACTATCAGTTAATTTATTAAACAACCCAACAAGGCCAGTAGTCCTACAGGAGTCCTATGTTTCAGGCTGCGGGTCTAGTTTACGAGCTCCCATCGCACACGGAAGTCAGGATGATTCCTGACATCACTGAGAACATGGACAGTGACAGGACATAGGACCTGATCCGTGATCCTGTCATCCTGAAAGCGGAGGATGCAGCTACATGGGCGGGAGATGGTTAAGCAGTCCTCTAAAATGTTTTTAAGACAATGCGTAGGACCTCAAACATCGCAGGCTTGTGGTCACAGCCCTGGTGCTACCTGGGAGCTATTTCAATTTCTTCTTTCTTCATATGTGTAAGTCCCTGGCCCTTAGCTTCACACACACACACACACACACACACACACACACACACATATTTCTGTCTACACCACCTCGCAATGGCCTTCTTAGCAATATTTTTCACCGTTTCACTTATGCCTCGTTACCTGTGGCTATAAGATGGTCCCTCGTGTCCTTGTACATTGCGTGAATATTGGTTAACTCCTCGTATTTAACTCAATGTTTTCATATCAAGCTAATTCTACTATGGAAGTACTACTTCTTTACTTAAAAAAGAATCGCCCATCAAAACAATGACCGTTATAGATTCTTTTTCTCAAAGAAAGAGCGAGGCATCGTTAAAGTGACTAAAAATTTTATGATGACACACACACCAAAAAAACACATTGATTTCTTATTTTGCTTCCTCTTCCTCCTTTTTTTTTAAAAAAATAAACAATCCTTTCTCCTTAGAGTATTAAGAGCAGGGAATACATGCACATAAGGAAAACATTCTTAAAAGTTGGGGCTTTGTTTTCGTAATTATTTCTCTATCCGGCGAAGGATACGTTGATGGATTTCCAAATGAATAACTCTAATCATTTCTAGCAGCTTCTGCAGAATTTTTATAATGAGGCAATCTAGTTATAATGAGCTCAAAACATAATAAAATTCTGCACTGAGCTGGGGGGTGTGGATTTGTTCGTACGTAGCCTTAATGGCAAGATAAAGAGGTTCGATTTCATTTGCGTCAAGGTCAGCAAGCATTCGAGGTTATTTATTTATACCCATAAATAACCTGATGTGGACTTAAAATATCCTATTTTCCTATCACTAGCCATAAACACAATCAGGTTTAGCTTCACTGTATTTTTTCTGAGTACGAAATTTTTTAAATTCCATTTTTCAAACTCCCTAATCATGATTTCAAAATACTTGCCATATGACAGGGGGGAAAAATATATATTCTGGAGGTTTTGTTTATTCTCCAATTTTAATACCTCTGAAGAGAATGAATTTTAAAAAAATAGAGGGGCGGGGAACAGTATTTTTTTTTAACCGAGGACTGTGTTATCAAGATATTTTTCAACCACCATTCAGGAACAATCCCAGCCTGCATTTTTTTTTGGCCCTGTCATCAGAAATACCAAGGCCATAAAATGTACTTTTGGAGGCTATTTAACATGGAATACAGAATCTACCCTGTTAGAAGCTGTAGACACACACGCGTGCGTGCGTACACACACACACACACACACACACACACACACACACGCACCCTTTGCGAGATCAAAGACCAGGAGAGAGCCGGCACTTAATTCATCAGCCTTCCCCGAACCAGAGACAGTTTTCGTCATTTCAAAAGGCTCAGATGTCTTTTATGACAAGCCGGGCCTGCAGCTTAATTTACAAAACAGGATCCCAAGCCGGCCAGTCTAGGCGCGGCCCAGGCCCGGGCCGCACGGCGTCCGCCCCCAGCAGGCCCGGGAAGATGAAACACGCAAACCGAAATAATTTAGGGAAAACAAATAAATGTTTCAGGAACGTCGAGGGGGATCAAAGGCAGCATTTGCTGACCCCGCCGGTCCCCGCATTTCTGATGAGATTGACCGGGGCCATCGGATCATTAATTAAAAGGAGTGGCGCTGGCAGGTGGCGGGGACGCGCCGCCGGTAATTGGCTCCCTTCTCTCTCCTTCAAAAACTCTCTCTCTCTCGCTCTTTGGCAAGACATGCCACCAGGCAGACAGAAATGCCTACTTTGTAAGATAATGATGAAGATGAGAGGGAGAGGCGCCCGTTTCAAGAAACGCTGCCTAATGAAGGCGCCCGGCTTTTTAATTATGGTCCCGCGTCTCCCCAGCTGCCAAGGAGGGAGACACAGGACACGCAGACCCGCACGGATGCCTCGCACACGCGCGGCCCCTTTATCTCTCAGTGTATGAAAGTGGGGGGACTCGCTCTCGGGAACTCGGGGTGCAGGAGAAGCCATGGATACACGGATCCAGGGGCGCCCCCAAGGGCCCTCCCGGACTCACCACGTCACTGGGGAGGTTGTCCAAGTCGTGAAACGGGGACTCCAAAGTGTTCGTGTCCACGTTTAACATCACCACGTCCTCCAGCGATCTGTTCCTCACTCTCTGTTGAAAACACACCGTGATCAATGAGACAGCTCAGGGCACCGGCCCCCCAAAATCTGCCGAGCTTGGAAATGTAGGGAAGTGGCCCGCGGGCCACAAGTTTGACATGCTTGCTCTAGGCCAGTGGTCGGCACACTCATTAGTCAACAGAGCCAAGTATCAACAGGACAACGACTGAAATTTCTTTTGAGAGCCAAGTTTTTTTTAAACTTAAACTATACAGGTAGGTACACTGTCATTCACTTAATTAGGGTCCTCCTAAGGCTTAGGAAGAGCCACACTCAAGGGGCCAAAGAGCCGCATGTGGCTCGCGAGCCGCAGTTTGCCGACCACGGGTCTGGGGGGAAGAATTAAGGGAAAAGTCCTGCATCATAAAAAGAATGCAAACAACTTTGCTTTATGAGGAAAAATAGTTCCTATCCGACCATTCGAAAAGGTTGGGTTGAAAATGCTTAACTAGCATGTTTGCTCATCTCAACATACTGATGAGGTTTGGAGATAGTGACGATGATTTAGCTGCCAGAGGTATCTCACGACGAAGACTTACAAAGTGGGCATGGTGACGTTGAACTGTGAAAAGTTACCTTCTTTCAATTTGATCAACTGAACTGCGATCTTTGATACAGGTCCTATCCAGTGATGGCGAACCTATGACACGCGTGTCACAGGGGACACGTGAGCTCATTTTTGTGGTTGATTTTTCTTTGTTAAATGGCATTTAAATATATAAAATAAATATAAAAATTATGGTTCATTGAGAACTAAAAGTTTTCCGGATTTAAAACTAACCATGTGATTTCTCCCATATGTAACCTATTTTCATGGGTTTCATGTCATTGAAGATGCTCATTTGGTATAAAAATTAAAACGACGTTATTTCAATGTTATCTTTTAAAAAAATGACCATGTGAGTTTGATATTAAACTAGTACTGCTCTGTACTAGTCAACTGGTATTCTTCCAAAGCACAACTGTGTTAACTATGATTTTTATGAGTGATCATTCTCGTATGTCTGACGGATACTCACCTCTATGAGGCTGGAGTGTACTCCAATCAGGTACGGCATCGGAGCGCTGAATTTAAAAAACATATATTCACAGTTCATTAAAACTGAAACAACAATATACGTAATTCTGCATGCTTAAACTATTACTTAAATGCACAGTGCTAACATAGCATAGCTTAGGTATTTTAAATTGTTTTCTATATACAATTCAAATTGAAAGGCCATTAATAGATTCAAGTTAAGGTTGGTTTATATAAAAAAAATCACAGAATCATTTCTAAGTAAATCGAGAAATGGAATGCTTTAAAAAACTTTACCGATTGAGAATATTAGGGTCGAGGCCAAAACCTGAGTTGAATCTTTTCCATATACTTCATGTCAAATATATCACAAATCATCATCAAATGTATTCATATTTCCTTTGTACTTCTTGTTATCCAATTAGATCTTCATTCCTATGATTTTCTTAATAGATCGTTTTTTCACCCCTACTACATCAGCAACATTTTTTGAGTCAGTTAGTACCAAATACGTATGGAGTCCTACTGTGTGCTGGGCACTGTTTTGGGAACCTGAAGGACAAAGTTCCTCCTCACTGCCCTCATCCTATTTCTATCCTGTCCTTCTGCTCATGTACCCTGTCTTTTCATTCAAATATCACACTTTCCTTTTTATCCCACGTTCATGTTTATTAATAGAATAATTTTAACAAATGAGAAAATATGCAAATTAAATTTAAGAACAATATTATATTAAATTAATTAAAATATGGAAAGCACACCAGGTGTCCTGGTCTAGGGCCTTGGGTCCGACAGTAAACAATATGGACAAAATATACTCCCCTGGGGGTCTCATACTCTCGCAGAGAATAGAGTCATTCAATAATTTTTGTAACACATACCATCAGACTCACCACTCATCCAAAAAAGATTTCTCACGAAACAGAAGAAGGAAATTATTCAACTTGACATTGCAAAATTACAATGCTACTTGACAAGAAATGATGAGAATGGGCAGATGTCTACAAAGGTGACAGGAAATACCCAAATACACAGCTACTTAAAAACAAAACACTTTTCAATAGGTCCGTACTGACTTGAGAGAGAGGAAGGGAGAGGGAGAGAGAGACAGAAACATCCACAATGAGAGAGAAGCATGGATCGGCTGCCTCCTGCACGCCCCACACTGGGGATTGAACCGGTGACCTCTTGGTTTATGGGTCAACGCTCAACCACTGAGCTGGCGAAATCGGCCCCTTTTGGGAGAAGAAGATTGAGCACATCCAAAGCAGAACCAGCCATCGGTGAACGAGGAAGAGCAACTATCATTTTCTTGGTGCTGGAGTCGCCCCGCCTCCTGGGTGTGTAAGGACTCGCCCAGCTGAAGCCCTTCCGCCAACATCACAGACTCGCCCGGGTTCGAGACCTCTCTGTTGAGATGTGACATGTGCCCCGTGTGTTCGTACCGAACTGTTAACCTGCTAACCGACCACAACGGGGGTCCTTCAATAGATCGCGAGAACCTTGCAGAACTGATGCCCGTGGACACTCCCAGCCCTGGCCGGTGTGGCTCAGTGGATGGAGCACCAGCCCTAGATGAAGGGTCCCAGGTTCGATTCCAGTCAAGGGCAAGTACCTGGGTTGGGCATGTGCGGGAGGCAACCAATGGATGTGTCTCTCCCCCTCCCTTCCACTCTCTCTCAAACTGAATGGGAAAATATCCTTGGGTGAGGATGAACAACAAAAAACAAACAGAAACTCCCCATTTTCTCCTCAAACTGGGAGATGGAGGGGAAGAGGCAGGTGGTGTCACAGGACCCTAGGAGCCCCTCGCCATCCGGGTAGGCCACAGGGACCTCTTCCTCCTACGTGACTCCTAGTTGTCCCCATCCATGTCCCCTTTGTACACCTCTGACATTCACCTCGCAGAATTAGTGTTACCCTGTGCCTGCGTGTGTGTGCGTGTGCGTGTGCATGTATGTGCGTGTGCACGTTGGTGTCAATGCCTTCCCTTCTGGGAACCCCGCAAGGGCAGACGCTAAGTCTTATTCCTGACATGACAGACTCGCGGCTTGGCAAACGGGTGCTCGCTACACGGTGGGCGTACAAATGGATGGGGGAGTGAATGGAGGCACCAGCACCCTGGGGAGCCTTTACCGGCGGACCCCGAGGCAAGGTTCACACGTGGTCACGGGGTGGCACCCCGGCCCTCACAGGCCATGCCATCAGAGACACCCAGCGTGAAAGCAAAGGCCCTTCCAGGCGCGAGGAGGGCCCTGGGGTTGGGAGAGTGGGCGCACACACCCCACCGCCCTCCAGGCTTCCTGCTGCTGTTTCTGAAGCGGAATCTAGACCATGGACTGGCAGGCGTGGCCTCTGACAGCCGCCTCCCTTCCGCATGCCGACCAGTCTGACTAGAACCGTCCCCAAGGACGCAGAGAGGGGGAAGTCGTGCTCCCCAGAAAGCAGCTGGGTCCGTAGAATTCTCTGACATGGAAGACAGCTCGCGTCTTCGAGGGCTGGACCTCAATACACGGCTATGTCCTCCTGCCCCACCCCCTGAGCCATCCTCGTGGCCTGGACGCTCGGACGTGCTGGTCATCTCCCCTATACCCACCAGGCCAGGGGACAGTCTGGCGTGAGAAGTTGTCCCAGAGGCTCCTGAAGGGGCTGGAACCCACTCAGAAAACTCCAGAGACGAAGCCAGGAAACAAGCTCTCTCTGTTACCATGGAAACAGCAGGAAGAAGGACTGGGGGGGGGGGACTGGCTTAGCAAGGACCGGGATGGCCCCCCAGGAAAGCACCGCTTGGCCCCTTCTTAAAAGCATGTTCCACACTTGTCGCTAATCCCCAAAGCAGGTTGTGGCACGTCCGGGCACGTATGTGCACATCAAGCTTCCCGTGGCTCAGTGGGTGAGTGTCAACCTAGGAACCAGGAGGTCAGGGTTCGATTCCCGGTCAGGGCACATGCCAGAGGTGCCAGCCAGATCCCCAGTGTGGGGTGTACAGGAGGCAGCCGATCCATGATTCTCTCTCATCATGGATGTTTCTGTCTCTCTCTCCCTCTCTGAAATCAATAAAATTACATTTGGAGGAGAATAAGGAGAAGGAGAAGGAGGAGAAGAGGGAGAAGAGGGAGGAGAGGAAGAAGGAAAGAAGAGGAAGAGGAAGAGGAGGAGGAGGAGGAGGAGGAAGAGGAAGAGGAACCGGGCTTTCTCCCACGTGACCCCGGGTCCGGGAGCCGGCGGGGGGCGCTCACCAGCAGTAGTCCAGCAGGTGCGGCGGCAGCACGGGGATGTAGATGTGCTGCCAGAACATGGGGTAGAGCAGCGCGGCCGATCCGTGCAGGCAGGCAGTCAACTGCGAGACGGAAAGGGACAGCCACAGTGAGGAGCAGGCTCCCTACAAACACACCATCCCCCCACATTCCCCAAGACGATCATAACACATCCCAACTGCTCCCGTGACCTCCACCCTATGACCTCTACCAATTCCGCACCCAACAGGCCTTCCACTTCAGAAGCGCCCCCTCCCTGAGAACCGGGGTTTCTCCCACGTGACCCCGGGTCCGGGAGCCGCCGGGAGCCGGCGGGGGGCGCTCACCAGCAGTAGTCCAGCAGGTGCGGCGGCAGCACGGGGATGTAGATGTGCTGCCAGAACATGGGGTAGAGCAGCGCGGCCGATCCGTGCAGGCAGGCAGTCAACTGCGAGACGGAAAGGGACAGCCACAGTGAGGAGCAGGCTCCCTACAAACACACCATCCCCCCCCCACATTCCCCAAGACGATCATAACACATCCCAACTGCTCTCGTGACCTCCACCCTATGACCTCTACCAATTCCGCACCCAACAGGCCTTCCACTTCAGAAGCGCCCCCTCCCTGAAAACACACAGCCTATCAGCAACTCGAGGAGGTTCTTGGGGGTCCCAGGGAGACCGGTCTCTGAAAATACAGTATTTGGGGGTCAACACAAAGCCCATGGACACAAAGATCAGGTGGGCGCCGTAGGGGAAACGGTGGGACCCGACGGCTGGGCATGGCTGGAACTCGTGCTCCGCGATGAGACGTGGAGAGGGAGGGGGGGAGGCTCCGGAGGGAGATCGTTAGGGCAAATTGCCAAAGCGTGAAACACGGGTCCGACAGCCGGGGCTGCGCCGCCCGAGCGCCAGGGGACCGGGCTGCTCGACAGCGGACCGCGGGGCGCGGCACCCAGAGACGCTGCTCGCTGACACGTGGGATGTCACTATTGACCAGCGCGGGCCACGCCTGACAGCTGGGCCGCAGGAAGCCAGGAATATCATCATTCCCTCCTTCCTGACGCCCGTTTGGGGGCCCAGCTGCGGATCAAGACAGCTGCCCGGACATGGCTGCGATTGCAAAGGGAATTGCCATTTTAATTGTTTTGATTTGGCGAGTGGCTAATTAAATCTTTTCAACGCCTTGCGTAAAGATACCTCCCCCTTCTCTGGTCCCCCCTTCCTCCGTCCTATGGACCCAGCGCAGAATTCTTCCCATGTGATTTTTCTGTGCTTTTAAAATTCCATTCCTGTAAGCGGGGAGTCATCTTTCTCCCCCAGTGTTTGCAGCAATAAGTGAATCAGCATGCATCATTGTTTTAAAGGGTTGCTAGGGTCTGCCTTTCAAGGCTACGGAGGAAATCATTTTGCCCAGCTTGAAAATCAGATCTGAGAAATAAAACCACCTGAAAACGGGTCTGAAAACAGACTTTCTATTAGCCATCATTTCTCTTTCATTATAGAGGAAATGAGAATTTTACACACACTAATCAAATTAATTTAAACATTAAATGCATGCAAAGCAATTCAGTATTTTCTTATTATTGAATATACCGGGGTGACACTGGTTAATAAGATCATCTCGGTCTCCGGGGTACAAATCTACAACATCATCTGTGTATTGTATCATATGTTCACCACCCCAAGTCGAGTTTCCTTCCGTCACCATTGATCCCCCCCTTTTCCCTCTGCTCCCTCCCCCATCCCCGTCCCCTCTCAATTCAATCTCAATAGCAGTACTGTCTATATTCAAGTGCCAAGTAGTTCTACAGAATTAAAAAAATTAATTAAGAGAATCTAGTCGGGAACCAAAACCATACACATTTTGATTAAAAGCATATTCCTCTTTATCACGTGTCTTCTGTCTTTTGCCAATTAGATTTTTCATTAGTGACATGTGGAAAACGATCGATTTCGGTTCCATTTAGAATAAATGCCACTGATGGGTTTTAGCGCTTCACCGTACAAGCCTTCACAGCTCACCGACAGCCGTCTTTCAATCAACACTCGTTCCAAATTCCTTCATCCGAACATGCAATAGGCCACTAGGAGGCATGCAAATGCTTCCATTTAGCGATTTCGGACCATGGACTCCCTTATCTCCCGTATCTGAGCGAGAGGATAATAAAAGCGGGGTTCATCTAGCCAGCGTCGCCTCCCCCGAGAGCTTTCGGGCACTCCCTGGGTATAAAGCAGGCATCCCCCCGACGGAGCGAACCCTCCTCCCACGGGAAGAGTTAAGGAGAAGGCAGCTCTTTTGCTCACTTCCCCCGTTTCTCCAGACATGGCTTTGAAAACCCCTCCTTTCACCCCTTGAGAAGGACCGTGGCCGGGTGTGTGTGGTACACAAACACAAGGAACAGGGTAACGGAGGAAGACACACGTTCTCAAGGTGGGGAATGTACTCAGGGTCACTTATCTTCCGGGCCACACCCAGAACCCAAAGTCCGCTGGTACACGTCACCTAGATCCGTCCCCGACGCCCCCAGGGTCATCCTTCATGGACGTTATGAATGAGGCACAAGAGCAGCTGGAACGTTGGACCGGCTTCCGAAAGAATGAGTTTCTAATGCTAAGCAGTCACCACCTCTGATGACGGTCAGCACGTGAGCTGTCCCTGACGCTAAGGCAGCGCTAACTGTCCCAACCAATCCTGTCCCTCCACCCCTCTGAGAGCCGAGCCAACGAAGGGAAATAAACAACGAATTTTAGAAGTTTGGTTAGAAGAACAAAGTCCTAGCAGGAAATAAGCTCAGTTTAAAAGCCAGGGAAAGGGAGAAGTTTCTTGCTTTTTAGTTATTCATGACCTACCGGATCCTGAACCTTCAAGGGTAGCGACAATCACATTTTGGGGCCAGATTACCCAGGTTCTGCCTGGCTGGTGACGAGGCCAGGAAGCCATATTGCTTTTCCTTTTTTAAAAATATATTTTTATTGATTTCAGAGAGGAAGGGAGAGGGAGAGAGAAACATCCATGAAGAGAGAGAATCATGGATCAGCTGCCTCCTGGGGATGGAGCCCACAACCCAGGCATGTGCCCTTGACCGGTAATCCAACCGTGACCTCCTGGTTCATAGGTCGACACACAACCACTGAGCCACACAGGCCGGGCCACAGTGCTTTTCTGGTATCTTCCAGCTGCTTCTTTCATCATCCCTGCTGCTTCTTGTGAAGTTCAAAGAGGAACAAATTCATCAAATAACGGTTTAAGAGAAGAAGAAAAACCACCACCACCATTCCTCCCCATCTGGGTCCAGTGGCATGTGAATATCTCTCCGCACCTGTAATCCCACAAAGCTTCCTCAAAGTGCTGACTAATTCGAAATAAAACCCCCGGGAGAACCGATTCCCCACACACTGCAATTGTAGAGTCAGCACAAGTGGAAGCCATAGGAAGAGGCGAGAAGTCCACGGGAGAAACCTGACCACGAAGGTGGGGGACAGTGAACGTGGTCATGGGATAAAGGCACCTGGAACTTCCGGTCCCAGGCCCCCAGGTCGAATGTCACTGACGATAACAATAGCAAACGTCTCTAGGATGCTGACCAGGTGCCCGCACTCTTCTGAGAACCTGACAGTCTCACATCTGTTCCCACTGTTCCCACCGACGGACCAGGGCACGATGGCGAAGGTAGACCAGTTGCCCAAGATCACACACCTCGAAAGCAGCCAACCCAGGACTCCAGCCCAGGCAGGCCCAATCGAGAACCTTTCTTTCCGACTGCCTTCCCACATACCAAGATCCAAAATGCCCACCCTTCTGAGACCCTGAGTCACATCTACCGACGGAAAACATTTTATCCGAACAACATGACGGAGAGTGAGTCTTTGGGATGGACAGCCGGACAAGCACAAGACGAGAGGACAGTTTTCCTGTCTTAGAAGTTCCCTCCGATGGACCTCCAGCCGTACCTGCCAACGAAGTGCCATCTGACCACCCCAGTGGTGACCTTGAACCAGGAGGTCAGGGTTCGATTCCCAGTCAAGGGCACCTGCCCGGGTTGCGGTCTCGATCCCCAGTGTGGGGCGTGCAGGAGGCAGTGGACCCATGACTCTCTGTCACCCGGTCCTATCTCCACCCCACTGCTCCTCTCCCTTAGCTCTGAATGGAAACACACGTCACACAACACCCTGGGAAGGAGAATTAGCAGGGACCGTGTCAGCTGACATCACTGGTTGCTTCGGGGAGAATGAAAAATCTAAAATCCCTAGCATCTCCCTCCCTGAGGGGTCCCAATGATGACATGCAACGGCACCCCTCGGCTGCCACTCAACAAACACGAGGGGGGACGTGCGCTCGGATAATCTTCGCAAAGAAGTGGGCCTGGGTCACGCCTGTTCCCTTGCCAACCGTTCAGTTCCTGATCTCCAGAAAGAGGCTCCGAGCTTCGGGGTCCGGGCTCAGTGCCCACACAGGTGCCCCCAGTAAAAGACAAGTCACGGATCCTCAAGATCCAGACGGAGAGGGTCAAGTCCCCCCGACGTCCCTGCAGCCCAGCGAAGCCTGTGAAATCCCCATGGTCACGGCCGATTTTCCAGGGATCACAGAGCTTTCTGCTCGCGGGTGCCCTGGACGGAATTAGCGCGAGGAGGAGCGAAAGCATGTGCCTGGCTGCCCCGGGGCATCGCCCACAAAGGCAGACATTACAGTTTATTAACACGATCCCAGCGCGCGCGGCACACTGCTCGCTGGGCCTGTTCCCGAAGGGGCGTGCGCCCTCGCTCCAATCTCTGGAACTAACGTGCTTACGGGCTTCGGGGGGGAGATGTTTACCAACTGAACGTGGGTCCGGACGGGAGCCCCCGATCAGAGATTGGCTGGCTTCAGAGAGAGGCACCCTGCTCCCCCGCTGCAGGCCACGCAGGCCCGCCCTCGTTAGCAGATGACTGACAGCGTGATGGGGCGGCCCTGTCAGAGGCTGGCCGATGGGACAAGACGCACAGCCCGGCCGGCTGCTCAGAGCAGGTCTGAGGGACCGTGACAGGCGCGGATGACAGCGCTGCACGCCCGACCGCCTTGAGACGCGGGGACATGACTTTCGACAGCCATGTTCCCGGCTCCGGTCCTAAAGCAGCAAGGAGTCGAGGGATCTACGCGTGTACGATCATGATGGATCCTCTGCTCCGATGTTCCGCAAGCCCCGCCGAGGTGCACCCCCCCGGCCCTCCCCGCGGGGATATGCCTGTCTGCTGCATGGATGACACCCACGCTCTCCATCAGGGCTTCCAGGACGCCCCGCCCCCCAGCCATGTGGACTTGACAATGGAAATATCGACAGAATAAACACAGAGGTGCTATGTCCTAGTGCTGTGGTCGGCAAACTGCGGCTCGCGAGCCACATGCGGCTCTTTGGCCCCTTGAGTGTGGCTCTTCCTAAGCCTTAGGAGGACCCTAATTAAGTTAATAACAATGTACCTACTTATATAGTTTAAGTTTAAAAAATTTGGCTCTCAAAAGAAATTTCAATCGCTGTACTGTTAATATTTGGCTCTGCTGGCTAATGAGTTTGCTGACCACTGTCCTAGTGCATGAAACTCAAACACATAAAAATATAATAATGGGTCCCAGCAAAACACTTGTAATATGTGTGTGTGGGGGGGGAGACACATTAAAATTTTATTTCATTTTAAGTATCTTTTTATTGATTTCAGAGAGGAAGGGAGAGGAAATGAGAGATAGAAACATCAATGATGAGAGAGAATCATGGATCGGCTGCCTCCTGCACGCCCCACACTGGGGATCGAGCCCACAACCCGGGCCTGTGCCCTGACCAGGAATCGAACTGTGACCTGGTTCATAGGTCGATGCTCAACCACTGAGCCACGCCGGCCGGGCCATAACAACACTCTTAATATTTTTGCTAACATATCTCAGAACTAGTTTTTTTATGCTAAAGTTCATCTCTATAAAGATGATGAAAAAGTACAATTTTAACTACAAACAATGGGTAAAGAAAGCAGAGCCTTAAGTAACTGAATTCTCTAAATTCAGTTACTAAAACCCCCAGCAAGCTATAAGGCGGACCAGCGTCATTAGAATAAAATTATGAATGTCAAAGGGTAAAAACGCAAACACAATTCCTCAAACGACAATCAGATAGTGAATGTAAATACACCTTAACTCATATGTGTTCTTTCAAGAATTAAAATTTTGGCTGTAGGTTTTTAGAACAAGTGCAACAATTCATTGCGTTAAGATGAAGTGCATTCTAGTCTTTATGGCATAGAAAGAAATACAAGACTGTGAAAAGCTTTGCAGCAAATCAGTTCACGGACACCTTACTCTTTCCTTGGATGTCTCCGAGGTTTCACTAAATTCTTCCTAAAATCAGTTCCTTCCTAATTTACGTATGGTCCTGGTCTTTGACCTTAAGTGTTCCCGTGCGCAGGATTCGTGGCAGATCTAGACGTGAATTTCCAAGAGAGAGAGACCCAGGGATAGCGGCTTCCCCCACATAAGACAGGTAGCAGATCCTGACCGCGAACTTGGTCTGTGTGTCTGTGATCAGCCCTACGCCCCAGAGAGGGAACTTGGAGATGACATTGCCATCGAGCTCTCTCGAACGGCCATAAACCATTGGCACTGGGTTTAGTACCTCGAACATGGGGAACAGCTCCCTGAGCGAGAACACGCCTTTAGTAAAATAATTTGTTTTTTTAGCTCAGATAAAGTTAAAGGGCAAGTCTGTTACTCTTTAAACTGCATTATCTAGTCCCTTAGAAAATTATAGCTGACAATCACTGAAGAATCATTGGGTCTTATGTAGATAGAATTCTTAGCACTTCACCTGTACGGATATGTATGCATATGTATGTATATGCATGTGTGTATATGTGTGTGCATATGGGTATGTGTGTATATGTGTGTGTACATGTTCAAAAAAGGATGAGGATGAAGAGAAGAGGATATCTCCAATTTTTTTGAAAAAATGAGCATATTGATATTTTAATTCAAAAATCTGAAAACCGTGGTTTTTCGATTATAGAGTCACAGGAACAACCCAAAATTAGAAGCAGAAAACCCAGGACCACATGACCTGTCTCCGGTGAGCTCTGGGGCCTATGGGTGGGCATGTAACCTCTCTGATACCACCTCTCTCTCCATTCAATACGAAACAGACCTCCTAGAGAGATCCTGAAACTCTCTCTACTCGAAAATACCAAACTTCATCGTTTCTATTTCTACGACCAAACAAAACATGTATATGTTACCTTCTTTTTACCAGCTACCCAGATGCTTAAGACAGCAAACTCATGCCATCTTAAATAATGGGTTTTAATAAATATCTCACATATTATGCTAAATATCTATTTAAGTGGATATTTAAAATTTTTAAGTCAATCAAAAATGTTAAAAATTGCAATATCGAAAGCAGGAAAAAAAAACACAGGAAATGTAGCAAAAGACTTGTGACTCTTTTTCTATGGCCCAAAGACACTCCGATTCCCACCGCCTTCGCCACGTCGATCGAGAGCTTCCATAGCCCATTTCAGGGAGCAGCGGACGACGTGTGATTAATAATATTAAAAAAAAATGCTGCTTTGACTTTTAAGTTATTATCCATCTGAAGAGCTCCTCCAAGTCCCAGCTCCTATAGAACCTTCCAGCAAACCCGCGCTTGGCAACAAAGAGGCACCCACCTACTGCCCGGTTGGGAGAGAGCAGCTATTCTCCTGGGCCCCGGGTCCCTTTCAGGCAAGCGCCTGGGGAACAAGCCACAAGTGAATAGTCACCCTCGCATAATAGCTCTTCAGAATTCTTTCTCTGGCAGAAGGCAGTCAAATGAACCCAGGAGAGTTAACAAGAACAACGGAGGGGGGAGGAAGAGAAAAGAAAAAAAACACACGCAACTCTCATCTCCCAGATCAGAAAAAAAAAATAATTAACCTGACTTAATGCATCGCAGGCCGCCTTCCATAAATCAGACTTTTGTCCTTCAAGAGCCGCGGGACAACCACTTATCAGACACGGGGCCGCGGATATTGTCTCCCGGGACACGGGGAACCTGTCCGAGTCCCGCAGAGGCCCGCGGCCTCTTTGTGATGCGCGGGATGCAGGGGGGGGCCCTTTGTGATGCGCGTGTGACGCGGTTGCCTAGGAGACGGGTGGTACTCACGGTGCTGAGCTTGCTGGAGGTGATGAGGATGCGCCGCTCGTGCAGCATGCTGGCGTACAGCTGGAGCATGTTGCTGACGTCCACGGCCACGAAATACTCGGTGAGGTTCCTCTGCACGGGAGAAAAACCACGGTGTGCGCGTCAGGGCGCGTGGGGATGACCGAGGAACACGTCTTACGCAGTTAATGGTCTTTTTTAAAAAAATATATTTTTTTTTTCATTGACTTTTTTAGAGAGGGAAAGGGAGAGGGAGATAGAAACATGTTTGAGAGAGAAGCATCATCTATCGGCTGCCTCCTGCACGCACCCCCTACTGGGGATCGAGCCCGAAACCCGGGCATGTGCCCTGACTGGGGTGGTTCATGGGTCGATGCTCAACCACTGAGCTACACCAGCTGGGCACGTGCCTGGGTTGCAGGTTCAATTCAGGGCCCCAGTCAAGGTGTGTGTGGGAGGCAACTAGTCAATGTGTCTCTCACACAGATGTTTCTCGCCTCCTGCACGCACCCCCTGCTGGGGATCGAGCCCGAAACCCAGGCATGTGCCCTGACTGGGGTGGTTCATGGGTCGATGCTCAACCACTGAGCTACACCAGCTGGGCACGTGCCTGGGTTGCAGGTTCAATTCAGGGCCCCAGTCAAGGTGTGTGTGGGAGGCAACTAGTCAATGTGTCTCTCACACAGATGTTTCTCTCTCTTCCTCTCTGTCAACCAATCAGTGTCTCTCTCACCTAGATGTTTCTCTCTCTCTCTCTCCCTTCCTAAGAACCAATACAAAATATTAAGAATTATCAAAC